ACATACGAACTAGAACATCGACCAGGATGTAACAAAGGCTATTCCCTCGGAGCAAGAACTGCGAACAGATTTGATAAACCATTACACGTAAGTATTTTAGTCTTAACCATTTCGTAGCTTTGTATGGCATGATATAATGTTGATTCAAGTCTGAGGTTTAAAGTCTGATATCGTCTGCACATAGCAAGTTGTTAACAAGTTGATGGCAACAAGCTCGTAGCAACTTGTTACGAACAGCCTGTATTAGTCTTGTTGGAACAACTTGTAGCAAGTCTGCTACCGTCATCAACCTTGTAACAAGATGATAAAAACTTGTTCCAGACTTGTCACAACAACTGGGAACAAGCAGTGCGAACACATCCTGATATCGGCTTCACAACAACCTTGTTACGACTTGTTCGCAGATCTCTAACAACTTGCGCGGTATTACGTGTGTATTTGCACGAGATGCGCAAAAAAGATATGGATTCCGAAGACTTTGAATTCTGACAGTGTAATAAAATGGAATATTTCTTCATTATTATTTAGCTGGATACGCCGGGACCTCCGACACATCAGGAAATTAACGGTAAACCCAGGGAATTCTCGCCCGCATTTCGACCATTCCAAACAGGCGCGTCCCGTTTGCCACCAGTAAATAAAAATGTAAGTATATGTACTATGTACGATAGATATATGATAGAACTCCGCGCGCTAACTCGAACTAAATCAATTTCATTTTCTCTTCGTCAAATTTACCCATCAATTTACCCTCGAGTTGTATTTTTGAGATGTGGGTCGGCAAAGCTCAAAATCTCAGAACATACTAGCACATTGACAAGTCGGTAGCTTGGATTTCTATATTTAGACCGTATACAATAGACAATTCCCATTATATGTAGACTAATTTTAAAACTAGGCAAGGAGATGCAAATAAATCACCACAGCTAGAAAGAGCATACTTGAATGAGTAAAATTACAAAGTTTGGTTGGGAAATGTTGTAAAATGCGGAAAATATAGCCTTGCAAAGTCCGTTGCAAATTTTGTATACTTTTGTATTGCGTGCGGAAATTGCTACCATTTTCGGACCAAATCGAAGCGAAGTCTAGTCTACTGTACATTCTGACAAATTACCATGCATGCAGAAAGTGTGTAAAACGCGAAAAAATGTTTGCTGTTTGATTTAAGAATGTGTCTTTTTATCTTTCAGTCACAAGAACATGGCTTGCCAGGGTAAGTTTCAGAAAATGAGAAGCGAAAATAAACGACGCGGCCGGCTCGACGACGCGCTTTCAAAACAAAGAGATATGGTGTTTCCACAAACAATAGTATTATGTGTTTTATTGCCATGCAAAACTACAAAGAACTTACAAAGAAATTTGTCATGCAAGACAAAAACTGTCAATAATTTGTGGCCCCATGAGTATTGTCAACCGCGTTGTCATTCTCAACACAACGTTAAAAAAGATTATTACGTCTTTCAGGCAACGCGAAAGCTTAATGCGACACAAGAGGTGTTACTAAAATTCGAAATTACAGCAAACATTGCATCGCTTTAGCCGAACGTAGCATTTTGTAAGGTTATTTGAAAGAGTCAAATATTTATTACAGTAATCGAATTGTTTAGCGCTCATTCTTGAGCTAAAATTTAGACCGCGTCATTGAGCCGGCCGCGTCGCAGATCGTAAACTCCCTAATAAGTCGCGAACGACTTGCACGAAACGGTCAATTTAATCGCAAGCCGTCGCTAAAATAAGCCCAGGTAACCAGGTTGCAAGCTTGCCTCAGATATAAGCCACGGTTTATTGCAATTTGACTGTTTAGAAATAAGTTCGCTGACTTGTTTAAGCTGCGGCTTAGTTTTTCATATAAACTCACCACTTTCCCCCTTCCTTGAGATCTTTTTGCACCTCCCCTTGGGAAAGTTTTAATGATAGATGAAAGTGAAAATTTGACATTTTTGGTTGCTTATCTAAGGTCTACACTTCGTAAGAAAGTTTTTCTGTAAAATTGAAGCAGTGATAGCCATACATCTCTGTGTCAAGTACCCTTTTAATGCAATGTTTTGAAAGAAACTTTATAGCAATTGTAACGAAAGGCAAAATTGGATGAGTTGTACAGTCATAATTCATGAATACACTGATACATTATGTATGACACTACATACATACGTCACGTCGTTGAACTAGACTGCTGCACCTCCCCTAATTTTTTCTCCACCCGAGGTCAAAGGATTGCCGCTCCATCGATCTTTGCTATGCTGATATACTAAGCCAAAACAATCATTGACTGGAAGGCATGGAAAATTAAGATATGGGATTTTCAAAACAATGAAAAGGCATTGATACGTAGAACTTTCAATAAAAATATTCTTAATTTTTAGGCCAGGCACATACGAACACAAAGTCTCACAAAATAGAAAAGTGAAATATCTTGGTTCGTTTGGTGGACCCCAAACCTTAGTGACATCAATACGAATGAAGTGCACTGGAAATGGCGAGAAAGATACGGTAAGAAAATACCATAGTTAATAGAGGAGATGGTTTGGAAACTCGTTAGCATTACAATATAAAACCTCACTATCTATGTTTTTGTTCAGGTTTATGCAAAAATGTGGTCTTTCATCGTCACGTGCGTATTGTATTTTGGCTCTGCAACCAGCCAATAGCAACGGTTTTGTCCAATTGCCCATCCATGACTTTAACAATAGGACATTTTGAACATTCCCATTGGTTGACTTGAGAAAAATACAATACGCACGTGACGATGAAAGACCACATTTTTGCATAAACTAAACAACATAGATAATGAGGTTTATTGTGATTTTATTGTAATGCTAACGAGTATAAATAAAGTTAGTTTAGTTTAGGTTTCCTTCTGTAGTAACACTGGATCAATACGAGATGATCCGTACTGGACCTCTAGAAAGAACAGTTTAGAACTGATAGAACTATCCAGTATAAATAAAGTTAGTTTAGTGTAGGTTTCCTCCTGTAGTATAAACACTGGATCAATAAGAGATGATCCTTACTGGACATCTAGGAAGAACAGTTTAGAACTGATAGAGCTATCCAGTATAAATAAAGTTAGCTTAGTGTAGGTTTCCTCCTATAGTAACACTGGATCAATAAGAGATGATCCTTACTGGACATCTAGGAAGAACAGTTTAGAACTGATAGAGCTATCCAGTATAAATAAAGTTAGTTTAGCTGAAGACAATATTGAATTAGGCAATATTTTTTCTTCAGTGTTGTTCGTGTTACGAAGAACCGAATGGCGATTATTATGAGTACAAAAAGAAAGCGCTATGTCGCCCTTGCTACAATAAAAACATGAAAACAGAAACCAAATTTAGCAGAAGGTAAGAATTAAAGAAATAATTTTATCACGTAATATATGAAGAACGAGAGCGAGTGTTCAACGGGATATCCAAACACGAGAAAACAATGTATGAAACTCGAGCGCGTCTTTTCATACATTGTTTTCGAGTGATTGCGCATGGATGTCCCGAGCTCGAGTTGTTCATACGACTTCTCAAATGAATCATAGTTAATAGAGGAGATGGTTTGGAAACTCGTTAGCATTACAATAAAATCACAATAAACCTCATTTATCTATGGTGTTTAGGTTTATACAATACGCACGTGACGACGAAAGACCACATTTTTGCATAAACCTGAACAAAAACATAGATAGTGATTAAACCTCGAGGTTTATTGTAATGCTAACGAGTTTCCAAACCATCTCCTCTATTAAGGGGCAGATTACATGGAGCATTTTCAACCCCGGGGTTGAACTCAGCCCTATTTAGCGGGTTGAAATTTCAGCCTTGTCTGTAATACAAAACTCTATCAAAATCAAACGCGCGATTACATGACAAAATTTTCAACCCAGGGCTGAGTTCAACCCCGGGTTGAAATTTCAACCCTGCTTCAGCTAGCAGGGTTGAAATTTCAACCCCGGGGTTGAACTCAGCCCTGGGTTGAAAATTTTGTCATGTAATCGTTTCAACCCTGGGCTGAAATTATCATGAGTTATTCGAGCATGCGTGGTAGTGATTATTTATTACAAGAAAACAAAATATAGGCTTTTTTACTTCCGGAAATCGATGCCGAGAACGTATATATAGTATAGCGTTTCAACCCCGGGGTTGAAATCGCCCATGTAATCGCAAAAGATTTCAACCCGGTTAACAGGGCTGAGTTCAACCCCGGGGTTGAAATCGCCCATGTAATCGCAAAAGATTTCAACCCGGTTAACAGGGCTGAGTTCAACCCCGGGGTTGAAAGTTCTCCATGTAATCGGCCCCTAAGCCTGTTTTCCACCAGGCGGAATTTTGCGCGCGGAGCGGAACCCCTAAGCCTGTTTTCCACCAGGCGGAATTTTGCGCGCGGAGCGGAATTTTTCTTTGTCTTGTGATTTCTCGGGTGGAACTAATTAGAAAAGACAAAGAAAAATTCCGCTCCGCGCGCAAAATTCCTCCTAGTGGAAAACAGGCTTGAACTATGGTTTCATCAACCGGATTATCCAAATGACATTTTGTGATCAAATAGGTGATTATCATTGGCTGAATTGCTCATGAATTACTAATGATTTGAGAAGTATTTAGAAGCACCTATAATATTCAGCTGATGGAGTTTTGTTCATTTATCGAAATTTGTACAAATTTTTCAAACCCTTTTTGTGGACTTTTTATAATTCCCAAATAATCTTTTAGACAGTTTGTTTATTTTATAAAAATCTTGCCCTAACTAATGGTACGAGATATACTTTAGATGCTGTGTGCTGATTACCTCAGATAATATAGCCGACGGAGACTGTCTATAGGCATAGCTATATATAGAATATATTTGAGTCAAGTTTCCCTTGACAAGTTTACCTTCTCGTGTTTATACAGTCGACAAGTTTCCTAGCTTGACAAATTTTGTCGCTCTTAGTCTTGTGCATGGAATGTTGTTAAACAGTTATCTCACGTCAAGACCGCATTTCGTTTCCCAAAACCATAGAAATATTTCTTGTAGATTTGTCAATTTTTCATTGGCGGCCGTAGACACGAACAAATCTTCCTTGTCCAAAAGCTGACATGACTAGCGTTGGAACAAGTCTCTTTGACAGGAAAAATTTGTCAATTTTTTGCCGTATGTATACACGCGAGCAAGTAAAACTTGTCAAGGGAAAGTTGTCAAGGAAATATTGTTGATGTGTACACGGCTTTATATTATAGTTCTAGTTTTTTTCCCCTCAAAATTTAATAAGCTTCGTTCTGTTTTTAGCGTCCTGCATCATTTTACAAAGGTTCGCGATTGTAGCGGTGTCCATAATCACGAGGGAACGAATGCAAAATTACGGGTTAGTGCATTGGATTATTCAAGGGCAGATCTGCCTGCGGGGGATAGGGGGCACCTTGTGGTATCTAGCAACACCCCCCCCTTAGAGGAGTCTGCTTGACCATACATTTTCTGCTTTTCGAATAGCGGAACTTCTATTTTTTATAGCGCATGTCGATTTCTTGAAACGCGATTTAATTGAGTTTGTGAGCTCACGGGAAAATACTCAGAATGCTTTAGTTCAATATCATGGTTAAATATGTAAAATGTCGAGGTTGCATGTTATACAGCCATATTTTCAAATATACTGTACTTTAACAAGCAAATTTACTGTACTGTACTCAGTGGCGTAGCCAGCCCGACAATTTAGTCCCGCTATACAAATTCAAAATTATTATCATTATTCATTTCTTTAGAAATTGATTGTTTTCACAGTCAATGAACATGAAAATATTTGCATAGCGGGACCAAATAGTCGGGCTGGCTACGCTACTGACTGTACTGTGCTACAGCAACTGTCCAGTCACGCATACGTGATAAAAAGCCGATATAAACTTTATAAACAAAAGATAATGTAAAACGTAACAGAACGGCGAACATGCAGATTCGGCCATCTCAAATAATGGTAATGTTGGGATAGTAGCGTTGCAGACTGCAGAGGAGATTAGGGACCTTAGGGAGACTGCAGAGGAGATTAGGGACCAGAGGAGATTACTGACCAATTCATTTGATCAAGTTCCTCGAGATATTCATACACTTCCTGTGAAAGAGCTAATTCCAAGTATTTGATCATTTCTGGAAGGAATGAATTGGTCAGCCCGAGGTAATGTATTGAATCAATATTTGAGCAACACTTCAATTGGAACGACAGTAAGGTCCCTAATCTCCTCTGCAAGCATGTACGACGGCAACGCGACGACGATAGCCAAAACAAACTTCTTCAAATAAATTATTGCGAAGAAAAGTTGTTGTGTATTATTATCCAATGCATGTATATATGAATTGAGTTCAGTTTGAAGAGATTAAAACAAAGGCTTAATATGGTTAAAACGCTTCTGCGAACAAATTTGTAGTTTCATGATCACTTGTGGCGTCTTGACATGTTTGCGTTGTACACGAGACGTGAAAATCCAGTCTGGTTTGCCGTTGTAAAAAACCCTAACACAACATCTCTAACTCCCGTGGGGCTTTTAATTATTCATTTCTTTTGTATGAGATCAGGAATATCATTGTGTCATTGTGTTTGCTTAAGGTCCCTAGTGGGCAGTAAGGCTCCCTCATGCACCACCCCCATGGAAAACCTGCACCCCTCCTTGTAGATGAGGCTAGATCCGCATGGGATAATTTTGAGTCATCGTGAAAATGTCGTAGTAATTTTAGTTGTTTTTTTTTCTCTAGTTAATGACGGACAAAGATCTCAAGAAGCTGCGCTACAAAGAAGCATATTTTAGTCTGTACTTTTAATATCATCAACATTCATCAATACTACAAATTTGAGAACAAAACGATGTGGAATTTCTACTAATTTTGTAAATTAATAATATGCACATTTATCGCGAATGATTAACTCTTGTCATTTATTATATCGAATTGATTATTATATCGAATATCCTAGGAAATCCCCCCCCCCCCCCCTCTTTGACCGAGGTAATTCGTCACACTGCAAACAGAAGCGGCACTACAGGGGCTGTTTGGATGCGGACCGAACTATCAAATTGACTTGTCTGAATTAAAACCAAACGTAAATTTAATACCGGTACTTTAAGACGTCAAATGAATATAGATATCTTGAAAGCGGATAATTTAAAAATCCAAAACAGCCCAACAGTCTGTATTTAATGCAGACGTGTTGGTTTTTGACAGCGCTCATACTGGAAACAGCTGTTTTGGGTGGTTAGAATCAGTTTCAATCGTTGAGGCAGTCATTTGAAATCTTTCCCAGAATGGAAGAAATTCCATTTCAGGGACTTTAATTTGATGTAACGTAAAAGGTATAAAAGCTATCGCAATGAAATAAAGATCATTACATTCAGAAAGGACTGATTTAGATTGTGATATATAACACTTGAATTTACATGCAATATTGAGCGAGAGACAACAAATATAAAAATATTTATTATTTAAAAAGTATATAACTACATCGGTAATTATAAGCTTGTTTTATGCTAATTTTTGGCATTTTCAAAAACAGTAGTTCAACGTTCTCAAATCAATAGCGCATTCAATATTGCATGTGAATTCAAGTGCTATATATCAAAATCTAAGTTAGTCCTTTGTGAATGCAATGACCTTTATTTCAATGCGATAGCTTTTATAGCTTTTACATTACATGAAATCAAACAGTATGCAGTTTTTTCTGGGACACCCGGTGGATCAGGGCCTATCGATAATTGGGGGGCTCATATTCATATATTCATGTTTACAGACTGTAAAAACAATCGATTTAAAAAGAAGTGAATAATGCAGAACACGAATATATGAATATGAGCCCCCCCCCCCCCCCCCCCCCAATTATCGATCTTCCTACGGCCCTGTGGATTTCAAAACAGTCGAACATATATGTATAGTCGACAGATCTGATAGCTATTATTGTGAAAGCGAAGACTCGCGTAATCCGCGTATATGGAATGTTGATCAAAGATGTAGTAAATGTACACAGACCAAACTAATGACTCGGCAAAAGTATACCCCCTCCCCCCCCTTGAAGGATACCTGTCGCGCCAATACCGACCAAAGACTCTATACCAAGCATTTCGTTGCATTACTGTCGAGCGCCGAGGCCCAGGACGGAAACTCTGAAAGATTGAACCACGCCGCGCCAACACTGTGTGTCCACGCCAACATTATCATAAGACCAATAATATTCATCACAATACCAGCTCTGACCTGTATGAAAATGGTTTGTCGTCATCTTAGGTGCTCCGTGTGGTATTTTATACTTACAAAACTAACTTTATTTATACTGGATAGCTCTATCAGTTCTAAACTCTTCTTCCTGGAGGTCCAGTAAGGATCATCTCTTATTGATCCAGTGTTACTACAGGAAGAAAGCTAAACTAAACTGACTTTATTTATACTGGATAGCTCTATCAGTTCTAAACTGTTCTTCCTAGAGGTCCAGTAAGGAACATCTCTTATTGATCCAGTGTTACTACAGGAGGAAACCTAAACTAAACTAACTTTATTTATACTGGATTTGAAAACAGAGTTTTAGCATTTGAAAACGGAGTTCTGGCTTTTGAAAAAGAAGATCTGGAATTTGAAAACTGAGTTTTGGCATTTGAAAAGGGAGTTCTGGGATTTGAAAATAGAGTTTTGGCATTTGAAAACGGAGTTTTGGCTTTTGAAAAGGTAGTTTTGGCATTTGGAACCGGAATTTCGGCATTTGAAAACAGAGTTTTGGCATTTGAAAACGGAGTTCTGGCTTTTGAATAGGTAGTTTTGGCATTTGAAAAGAGAGTTCTGGCATTTCAAAACTCGAAGGGCTTAACTCGAAGATTTTCTACCTGACACTAGATAGCTACATCAATTCTATAAACTTCCAGGGGAAATATATAATCCATTATTGTTCCAGTCTTACTACAGGAGGAAACCTAAACTAACTATGTTATTAGTAGTAGAGCAGTATTGTAAAGCAGAATAAGCTTACTGCTTACCATATCGAAAACTTTAAGATATCCTGAGGAGAATATGATTGCATTGGGAGGTGTTGCCACAGGCAACATGTACGCAAAGGAACATGAGAGTGTGGCAGGAACCATTAAGTACCATGGATGAATTTTAATATTGACTGCCTGTTGAGAAAAAAGTTTATCTTTATTACAAGAAGAGTAATATCATAGGATACGAGGATATCACGGGTCTACAAAACCTACCACGGAGCCAACAATAGGCAGAAATATCGAGGCAGTAGCGACGTTTGATGTGACTTCAGTAAACATACATAGTACCAGAGATATTATCAAGACAATGTAGAATTGTGGAATAGATTCTAGTGACGCCATTTGATCACCCAACCATTCTGACAAACACGATTCCTAGATACAGAAAACAATTTTACGACACAAGTCAAAACGCGAGTCACGTACCCTCAACTTAAATTAATCTTTATTCATATTGGATAGCTCTATTCCTAGAGGTCCAGTAAGGATCATCTCTTATTGATCCAGTGTTACTACAGGAGGAAACATAAACTAAACTACCTTTATTTATACTGGATAGCTCTATCAGTCTAAACTGTTCTTCCTAGAGATCCAGTAAGGATCATCTCTTATTGATCCAGTGTTACTGCAGGAGGAAACCTGAACTAAACTAACTTTATTTATACTGGATAGTTCTATCTGTTCTAAACTGTTCTCCCTAAAGGTCCATTAATGATCATCTCCTATTGATCCAGTGTTACTACAGGAGGAAACCTAAACTAAACTGACTTTATTTATACTGGATAGCTCTATCAGTTCTAAACTGTTCTTCCTAGAGGTCCAGTAAGGATCATCTCTTATTCATCCAGTGTTACTACAGGAGGAAACCTAAACTAAACTTACTTTATTTATACTGGATAGCTCTATCAGTTCTAAACTGTTCCCCTAGAGATCCAGTAAGGATCATCTCTTATTGATCCAGTGTTACTACAGGAGGAAACCTAAACCAAACTAACTTTATTTATACTGGATAGCTCTATCAGTTCTAAACTGTTCTTCCTAGAGGTTCAGTAAGGATTATCTCTTAGTGATCTGGTGTTACTACAGGAGGAAACCTGAACTAAACTATCTTTATTTATACTGGATAGCTCTATCAGTTCTAAACTGTTCTTCCTTGAGGTCCAGTAAGGATCATCTCTTATTGATCCAGTGTTACTACAGGAGGAAACCTAGACTAAACTAACTTTATTAAAACCGGATAGCTCTATCAGTTCTAAACTGTTCTCCCTAGAGGTGCAGTAAGGATACCATACGGCAAATACCTTTGCAGCTTTGGCCATTGCAAAGCCAGCTCCCAGCAGCAAGACAATATTCCACGGGAATTTCTTTGTGACAGCTTTCCATTCGAGTAACGTAGGGAATGGGCAATCTGAAACAACAAGAAATGTAGTATTAAATACACGCCATCGTTTTGTTCTTGTGCGTTTTTGAAAACATTTTTAGCAGCTCCGATATACAAATCATCCGTGATATTTTGCGGGCAGTTCGTAGAACTGTGTGTTAATAATGACGTATTAAAGAAGAGTATATCAGTTACACTTATTTAAATTTTACCTTTGCTATCGTCGTTTTCGTCATCATCATCAAATAGCGTTGGTCTTTTGGCGGGAAAATTAAATAAGGAAAACGCCACGGCCATACTTGCTGTTGCATCGCGTACATAACTACAATTCAGAAACGATAAATCATTTCAATTGTTATTTTTTCACTTGTCAAGGGTATTAGGCATTTTATTTCAAAGCCAATAATTTGATGTTTTTGTGACTAGTAATCAAATTCATCAACATAACACAAGAAACTCAAACAAACTTCATAAGCGGTATAAAAGAACAAACTATCTAAAACGTACTCTTTTTAATAAAGGAGCTGATGTATGGAATTTATTACAGCCAAATATTAAAGATATAAAGTCTTGTAATACTTTCAAAAAGCAAATTAAACAGCAGTTTTTACTGAATCCAACATAATACTCAGATTCAGAATGCATCCTACTTGCACATTGCAATAAATTGTATGACATGAACTATGCTTTATACGACTTATATTTGTACTCTAATTATTATTTTTATATTCTGTCCTTCTTTTCTTCTTTTGGAAAAAAAACAACTCTAGGTAATTATCTTTCTGTTTTTACTGTAAATATACTGATTACTAGTTAACTGTGAACTTTAACTAGGGGCCTAAATTAAAAAGCCTGTAAGGGTTTCTAGTATTTTTCTACCCCAATATTATTAGAAAACATTTGTTAAATATTGATAAAGCTGTACATAGGGGAAACAATAATAAAATTTAAAAAAAACAGAAAATAAATTTGAAAACAGTTCACAGTTTTAATTCATATCTTCTTCAGTCTGACAAGATGACGTTATATTCTTCCGAATATTTCCTTAAGTTGTCAACACGTCGTGGTTTCAAAACATACAACCACAACCTATATTTTAGCCAATGAGTACGCGCTTGAGGTTTCTATACCCGCTTCGTGGACATTACCTAGACATCCATTTGTTGTCGGAATTGTGTTTGGATTGTCTCTCGAGTTGGAAGGAAGATCATTAGCGTTCGATAAGTTTGCCATATTCAAGTTTACAGTCGTGTCTGTACTTGGCGTTTGGAATATTCACACAGCCCGAACGAACTTTTCTAACAGAACTTTGAATAAACTTAATGACAATGGATCAGAACAATACAATGATACCAGATTTGGAATATCGTGTATTTATGCTGGAGTTATCCCATCAATTTACGTCCGAAGATACGGAAGAATTAAAATACGTGTTGGCTTCGCTTATTCCAGCGGGCAAAATGGAATCGCTTGATACAACGTTAAAAGTATTCCGTTGCCTCGAGAAACTCGAACGTGTTGGACCAAATAATCTTTGTCGACTCGAGAGACTTTTCAGTTTAATGGGGAAACATAAACTTTCTTCAATGGTTACTAGTTTTATGGAAAACAATTGACAAATTGACGACGTGTAATGGCACTGAAGTTATGTATAAAAAAGACAGACTGGACGCATTCTTGAAACCCGGGTTTATCCCTGACTTCAGGCATGCGTTAATCAGGCTGTTTTTATCTTCTCGCAAAAGGATGAAAGTTTAAAGTCAGTGAAATGATGGTGCTGTGTAGAGAATGTGGAAATTTTTAAGGTAAGTCTCGGCGAGCAAATTTAAACATATTCAAGCTTTCGACTATATTTCAAAGGCCTTCAAATATCATCAGGTAGGTTACGTTACAAGGATATTCAGTTATAAGTGAAGATTCATAAAGCAATATATATACATGAAAGAGATTATATTATAAAGGCAAGTTTATTCTAGCTTTATTATTTTTCATTATTCGTACTTTTGTAGCAAAGTTATATAGCTATATACGTATTAGTCTTAGGAAAATATTGTTACAGAATGATTCTATAGATAGACACACATATATACAAAGCAACTTGTGGCCACGTCACACACTCTAGCTCGATTAGAGTCCAAGTTCGGCACAAAAGTTTGCACGTCACAAAACTGCAAACGGACGCGACGTCGTGGTAAGCTTTCGCCGAACTTTGGTCTGTACGAGGATCGAGCTAGCCCACTCTAAGCCCGGGCTTTTAGCCCGCTCCTGGCCTAACTGAATCGGTTGCGGAAATGAAAAGCAGGAACTAAGCTGGAATCGAGTTGGAGTGTATGACGTGACTACAAGCTGCTTATATAATCATTTGTTGTCTCGTTTGCGGTATTTACTCAGTCATCAACTCTCTCATTGAAACCTTCTCTCCCTCATCTCCCTTTGAAATAATCAAACATCCCCAGATCTCCTACGACGAAAGATTTCCAAATGCAGAATCGGAACTCAACGATACCGGACTTCAAGTATCGGCGGTTCATGTTGAAATTGTCACACCGACTTACTTCGAAAGATATTGAAGAACTCAAGTTCATGTTAGCGTCGGTTATTCCAGCCGGCACAATGGAGTCGCTCGACACGACTTTGAAATTATTTCTTCACCTTGAGAAACTATTATTTGTTGGACCAAATAATCTTTGGGAACTCGCAGAACTGTTTCGTGCGATCGACAGACAAAGACTTTGTGATATTGTTACCAAGTTCATCGCAGATAGCGAGAATTAATTTTGACTGAGTACCCAAAAATTGCCCCGCTCAATACATTCTTAAAACTCAGGTTTATCCTGATTCTATAAGCATGTGTTGTGCAGGCGTGCTTTTCTCTTCATACAAAAGAATGGAAGTTTAAATCAGTGAATTGACGGCGCGGATAAATAAATATAAAACGATTTAAGGTAAGTTTCGATGAGAAAATTCTGATGTCCATTTTTGCCAAAGCTTTCAAAAGTTTGAACTGGAAAAGTAGGAATTTTCGCATCGAAGAGAAGCGACCATGGGCGAACTAGTCGCTACAACAGAGGATATTATTGATTTGATGAAGATATTGACTTGATTATCTAAATTTCGATTCCCAACACATGCGCAAAGCTTAGTGGTTTATCCCTGGCTTTATGCTTGTGTGTTGTGGCATTAATTTTGCTATATACAAAAGGATGGCTTTGTTGAACCAGATATATACAGACGGCTTCAGTTTCAGGCTGGGCGGAACCAGCGAGAATATATTTGGTGGAATATATAAAGCAGTCAAGGTGAGAGTGAAAGTAATCGCATATTTGTTAAAAGATATAGTCGAAGTATGCATATATAATTAAATTAAGTATATCGAATCGAAAACGGGGTAGAAAGGGGTTATTATTTTGTGTTATGTATGAAATATATAAAGGGGAAACTTGTTTTCCCTTGTTAGGAAATCTGCCACTGATTTCCTGATAACAACAAATAGATCACTAAATTTGACAGGCCCAACTAGTGTCCAAACATCGCGAAATTTAGGCATGTAGGAGTTAGACAGGCTAGCCTAGGTCAAGGACAACGGCTAAACCAACTGTTTGAAGTAAATAATTGTGTGGAAATCTTGTCTTGTATTTACTTTCGTATCATCAACTCTGATGATCAACAAAGCGTGCACGACGTCTAAAACCCCTGCTAGGCTTTTGTGCTAAGGATGAATACAATCAGATTGGTAATTGAAGTATTCATGCAGTCAAATGTCGTCCTGTTTACGTACCGATAAAGGCATATACAGTTGCACGAAAAAATGTCACAAAATCTTGGTTTTTCTCTAAATGTCTTCTTAGTATATGTGACAATTAAATCCGACGTCGCAAATGAGAACGAGGCTCCTTACACAAGGTGACGTGCTTTCCGGAAGTGTGTAATCCAACTGTTTAGGAATGTCTATGTATGAAGATGTCAAACACTCAACTCCTGCATTCACCCCGCAATTAAGGAATGATCCCTCCCCCGCCAAAAAAAATGAAAATTACAAGCCCAGACACAGAAAGCCCTGTTATTTCCAACAATAATTTTGTTTTAAGTAACCATGTGTATATTACCTGATGATAGGCAGATATATTTCTGTGAAACACATGTCACAGTATGGGGAGACAACCAGTAGGGCCACTTTTTTTTTATTTAAACATATTTTATTACAGACATTTTCTCCAAGAGCATAGCTCATCAAGGGAGATTATGTCGGATTATTTACAAACTTTAGGTTACTCACATCAAGACAAAGAGGATTACATAAAAAAGATTACATCAAAACAAATCGAATAATCATAGTGTGGAAGAACTTGTGGTATTCATTCTCAAGCTTTCCATGAAATATATTATTATAAGAAATTTATATGGAAGAATTTACCACACCAATGTTTTACAGACCAATGTTTTACAAAACAAGTTTCAATAAAAAAAAAAGTTACTCGGCCTGAAACCGTTTTGAATTTAAAATAAATAATTGGACATTTTGCATTAATTTTACATTATCTTCATGTCCAAGATTTTCCGACCCATGCAAAAGTATTTCAATTTTCCGATTCTCTGATAAATAGGGGAGAGAAAAGTGGCAATTATTTAAGCTAGATTCCAGGTGTCTTACGCGGCCAAAATCATTATTCTGTAGTACAATTTTATAGTGGACTGCTGCCGTTTACTGGCTGCCAATATGTAAATTAGGTTGGCAGCCAGTAAACAATGTAGACACTTCTTTACGCTGAGTGGCCCTACTGTACTTTTCCTGTACTGTGACACATGTCTAACTGAAAAATTAGTGAAGATTCGAGCCGACGTTTACCGTACTGTAAAAGAACAATTACACAAACATGTACTGACATGTCGAGCGTTGCTCTGCCTTGAAGATCACGACATCACGTAGACACGCTTAAATCTGCGAGACTGTAGAAGGCAAAGGTGACCTCGGAATTGAAATATTTATGCTCAAATTACGTCATATCGAAAATTTCACGATGTTTGTGTTGGGTTTGCGATGATTGCCATTCTTTATTTTAAGTCACAAGATCAATCTGTGACACAGGATACCATTTCACAGCAGGCATATTATATTTACATACAGGGTGTATAAAAAAAGGGAGACCTTTAGAAATTTATCTATTGTTGTTAAACAACATATATTTTGCTCCTGTAATTAAAAATTCAATTCAATTGTGTTCTCGCACTCTCGTGTTCAGCGTAGTGCGCATTCAAATTATAACAATAAGGTTAACAATAAGGTTAATTTCTAAAGGTGTCTTGCTCTCTTTCTGTTCATAACTCGATATAATCACGTTAATGCTAAAGCACAAAAAAATGAATAAAAAAGCCTCTGCCAAAAAGCCTAGCAGGGGTTTTAAACGTAGAGGTCATTATAGTCAGTGTAATGTGACACTCATTTCCGTCCACGAGCGTCTGTGAGGCTATTTTAGATGCGTCCAAGCTCTGTAGTCTGTTGACAACAGCAAAATGCATATTGAGCGCCAAAAAATAGGTGCGATTGCGTACATCTTGCAAGCCATTAGTCAGTACCTACAGGTGAACGAAGTTAACTAACTTGTTAAAAGTATTGGTGTTTGTTGGCTTGCGATTTACATGCTCTATTCACCTCTGTGTGACCGAAGTTTGCTACCTCAACATGCAGGGCGTGAACTTCCTTATCATTATTTTGCCTTACATGCACAAGGGCCCCCAGTTTGCCTCTACAAGAAACTGATTAGCTTTTACTGGGTCCATGGTACTCTTTTAAAGGGTGATAGCGCAGGATTTACTACGCCTCAACGGCTAAGAAAAGGATCATGCATAAACATGGCATTTCATTGGCATACTTGACAATCCTGATAGATTTACTGTAACCCAATCATTAGATAAACTCTATACAGTATGTCCTTGGAAAGGCTCCTAATAATTGAACAGTATTTCAAAAACGCATTAACAGTGAAAAATCATAACAGTGTCGTATCTTTATATGCAGTGATAGAGATTTCCCTTGATTTACATATTAAAACTTAAACTTTGATTTTCTGGACTTCACAACGTATTTTTTGAAAATTACGTCGCCAATAAACGTTATAATAGATTGTTTTTGAAGCAATTTAAAACATTCGCAGTGCGTGTTTTATCAGACCTAAAGATACGAGGCGAAGCCGAGTATCTTTATATCTGATAAGACACTGCTGCTCATGTTTTAAATAGTGCATCAGCTTAATTTTATGTCCAGCTACAATTAAACTTGTTTGAGGTACTAATCAAAATAACTTGTCCTAATATGATAATTAAGCCAATGTCTTATCCAAAAATCATAAAAAAATATTGTACAAGCTTTGTTGACAATGCCTTCAGATGTTGATTTTCGATGAAATAATCTAAAGCTAATATGTAGAAGAGTACTATCATAAGGCCAAACATTATTTTCAAGGCCAAACAAGGAATAATAAAAAAAGCCAAAATCGAGTTATTTGGCCGAAAGAAGGCCAAGTTACCAACCCTAAAACAATCGTCATACGGTCGGAATCATTCGGAATGCAGTCGTAAGTGTCATGTGAAAAATCAGGACAGGACATGACAGGACATGTCAGGACAGGTTTGAGTCATATGCTTGCAACAAAAATAAATAACAAAAAGCTTAGCAGGGGTTTTAGACGCCATCTAAACTCTGTTGACAAAAGCAAAATGAATATTTTCACGTCTCGAAAAGTACCCTAGCATTTGAAGGTGCGGGCATGTATAGTTTTCCTAGCAGAGTTGATCAACATTGGCATTGCTCTCCGAAAGTTAAAGCTCTGTGTTACTCCTTCGAAACTGTGTTAAATTCATACGAAAGTAAATACAAGACAAGATTTCCATACAATCATTTATTTCAAACAGTTTGTTTAGCCGTCGTCTTGACCTCCCCGTCCTACATGCGTATAAACGCCTACAACGTTTGGACATTCAGCGCTGTCAAATTTAGAGTTCTACTGATCAATCCGGGCTATGAGACCAGTGGTAGACTTCGGGAAAACAAGTTTCCCATTTTATATATTTCATACATAACACACAATAATACCCATTTTTACCCCATTTTTTATTCGATATACTTAACCTAACCACACTTTCATACTTCGATTATATCTTTTAACAATTATGCGATTACTTTCACTCTTACCTTGGCTGCCTTATATATTCCACCAAATATATTCTCGCTGGTTCCGCCAAGCTGGAAGCCGTCTGTATATCTGATTCAACAAAGCTATCCTTTTGTATATAGCAAAATTAATGCCACAACACACAAGCATAAAGCCAGGGATAAACCACTAAGCTTTGCCCATGTGTTGGGAATCGAAATTTAGATAATCAAGTCAATATCTTCATCAAATCACTATATTCTGTTGTAGCTAGTAGTTCGCCCATGGTCGCTTCTCTTCGATGCGAAAATTCTTACTTTTTCGGTTCATCATCGCGCTGTCTACAGATCTTTGGCAAGAAGGGACATCAGAATTTTCTCCTCAAAACTTACCTTAAATCGTTTTATATTAATTTCTTCGCGCCATCAATTCACTGATTTAAACTTCCATTCTTTTGTATGAAGAGAAAAACACGCCTGCACAACACATGCTTATAGAATCAGGATAAACCTGAGTTTTAAGAATGTATTGAGCGGGGCTATTTTTGACAGTCATTTTACTCGTGGACTATCAATTACTGTAACGTCTCTGGAATTTCGTTCATTCGATTCTCGCTGTCTGCGATAAAGTTGGTAACAATGTCACAAAGTCTTTGGCTTTCCATCGCACGAAACAGTTCTTGGAGTTCCCAAAGTTCATTTGGTCCAACAAATAATTGTTTCTCAAGGTGAAGAAACAATTTCAAAGTCGTGTCAAGCGACTCCATTACGCCGGCTGGAATAACCGACGTCAACATGTACTTAAGTTCTTCAGTATCTTGCGAAGTAAGTCGATGCGACAACTTCACCATGAAACCTCGATACTTTATGTCCGGTATCGTCGAGTTTCGATTTTCCATTTGGAAATCTTTCGTCGTGGGAGATTGGGGATGTTTGATTATTTCAAAGGGAGATGAGGGAGCAAGGTTTCAATGGGGTGGTTTCGAACTGAATGACACCGTCAACGACACAACAAATGATTATCAAAGCGACTTGTATTACGTCACACATTCTAGCTCGATTAAAGGCCAAGTTCGGCACAGAACCTTGCACGTCACATCCGTTTGCACTTTTGCTTATTTTATAAAACTGGTTGGAGTAAGTTTAAATTATGCAAAAACGCAAACGGATGTGACGTCGTGGCAAGCTTCTCGCCGAACTTGGCCTCCGAGAAATCGAGCTAGCCTAATCCTGGCCTGACTGGATCCGTTGCGGAAACGGAAGGCAGGAACTAGGCTGGAATCGAGCTAGAATGTGTGACGCAGTTACAATTCGGCTAGATAATCATTTGTTGTCTTGTTTACGGTGTCACTCAGTTCACAACCCTAAACTCGTTAAAACCTTGCTCCTTCGTTTCCCTTTGAAATAATCAAACATCCCCAATTTCCTACGACGAAAAATTTCCGACAAAATTCAGCAAATGGATGATCTAAACGCAACGATACCGGACTTGAAGTATCGATGTTTCATGCTACAGTTGTCGGACCAACTTACTTCGCAAGATATTGAAAGACTCAAGTACATTTTCGCTTCGGTTATTCCAGCTGGCAAAATGGAGTCGCTCGACACGACTTTCAAATTGTTTCATCAACTTGAACAACTATTATTTGTTGGACCAAATAATCTTTGGAAACTCGCAAAACTGTTTCGTGTAATGGGAAAGCAAAGACTTTCTGATATTGTTATCAAGTTCATCGCAGACAGCGATAATTAATTTTGACTGAGTGTCCAAAAATTGCCCCGCTCAATACATTCTTAAAACTCAGGTTTATCCTGATTCTATAAGCATGTGTTGTGCGGGCGTGCTTTTCTCTTCATACAAAAGAATGGAAGTTTAAATCAGTGAATTGACGGCGCGGAGAAATGAATATAAAACGATTTAAGGTAAGTTTCGATGAGAAAATTCTGAGGTCCAGTTTTGCCAAAGGTCTGTAGCCAGCGAGATGGCAAATTGTAGCCACTGGTATCAAGGAAAAGCGATCTAAGAGGTGTTGAACTGGAAAAGTAGGAATTTGCACATCGAAGAGAAGCGACCCTGGTCCGTGGGCGAACTAGTCGCTACCACAGAGGATATTATTGATTTGATGAAGATATGGACTTATCTAAATTTCGATTCCCGACACATACGCAAAGCTTAGTGGTTTATCCCTGGCTTTATGCTTGTGTGTTGTGGGACTAATTTTGCTATATACAAAAGGATAGCTTTGTTGAACCAGATATACAGACGGCTTCTAGCTTGGCGGAACCAGGAGAATATATTTGGTGGAAT